ATTCTGATACTCATTCAGATTCAATTTTTAGATACGCTCCAGACACGGATGCCATTCTGATACTCATTCAGTTTCAGCTTACAGATACGGTTCAACAATCATTTTTGGATGGCATCTACAAGCCCATCTCCAACAACTTTTCATCATCCCTCCAAATGGCATCTTTAATTCCATTCCCTATACCATCAACCCTCACATCACCGAGTGCAAATTTCTGGGCACTCTAGTGTCCAATCATCTTCCACCTTCGAGTCACGAATGGCAAAACTCGTCAATCTAACTCTTCAGGCTTAAGAAGATTGAACAGGGGCGTTGTTGTATCCCAAAAATTTTCCCTCTCACTTATCAAGAATTTTCTCACAAGATCTCTCTTAGTTCAAGACTGCACTAGGGTTGATCAGCTCAAGACAACTCCTTGAGCACTGATGACCAAAATTAGGGTTTGAGATTGCACAAGGATATTTGAACTTCCAATGCCCCATATGAGTTTCATGGATCATTATGGACCCTCAAGATCACTCATGTCAAGTTTCAAGCTTTGGATCACACTTTTGCTCAGTCAATTGAGCAGTTGACCTAAAAATCAGTTGTATTGGGGAAAAAGTCAACTATGGTCAATTTACAGTCAAACTTCATAATTTTTGATCCACATCAACATTTTAAACGCATATGTATCATTTAGAATTGATCTCACACCCTGTTACAAGACTGTAACACCATTAACACCATCCTCCATTTTCAAAAATAGAGTTTTACACTTGGACTTCTCTAGAACTCCTCAGGTACTTTCAGCTCAAGCTAAGCATCCCATTAGCTTCCTGAGAACTTGAGGAAGCTAACTCAATCATTAGAACCCACTGAAAGCTGCTCAAACTCCAAAACCGATACCCTCTTGCAAGGTAAGTTTTCAAACTTTCGAACTTTTCATACAGGCATCATCAATGATTTATTTGTGAATAAAACATGTAGATATCATTGCCCTAAAGCTAACCATGTCCATAGTTTCCATTAATTTTGCCTGAGCTTAGAGAATTTTAAGATTGAATTTTCTGAGATTTTTAGGGTTCATATTAGGGCCAATGAAATTCATGTTTGTCTTTGATCAATAGTTTTAATGCTTTACATTTCTGAAATCGTGAGGAAATTTGCTACAAGTTTCATGTTTACAGTTTTCATTTTTGTTGAGATTTGAACAAGTTACAGAGCTTCTGGTTGGGCGTGAGGTTGAAGATGAAGTTGGCCTTAGGAACATGTTTTCCATATATATTTATGGTTTGATTTATATAAACAGATGTATAGTCACCCCAGTGGTAGAAGCGCGCGCCTGTAACCAAAGGGACCTGGGTTCGAGCCCTAGTGGTACCCTTTTGATTTTTTCACACTTTTTTGCCTTCTGACTTTGTTTCTTGGACAGGCACTGGGCCTCCTTAGGCCTTATTGTTTTTGTTTTTTACTTTCTAACCCCCCTGTTTCATTTACACACCCCTGGCCCGGTTTTATTTTCTTTTCTTATTTTCATTTTATTTATGTTCTTAATATATTTTCTAATATTAAAAAATCATAAAAAATACAAAAATATTAGATTTTTATCTTGACATAGTTTATTTATTTATTTTCAATAAAAATTATTTTATTTAATCAATACTTTATTTATTTTACTAATTATCTATTTAAATTTAATTAAAAAATAGGTTTTAGTTATTTTCTTTTACACCAATTAAAATATATTATTTTAATATAAAAAAGGGCAAAAAATATTTGTTGACACTATAATTATATTCAAGACAAAAATACCAAAAATACTTTTCTTAAACTTAATTTATTTTTAATCAATTAATAGATTTAGGGTTTTATTTAAAATCTTTTCTTAGTAAATTTAGGTTTAATTAATTATTTTCTTCTAGTTAATTAGGTTAAAATCAAAACCCCTTTTCTCATAAAAAAATTCAAACAAAAATATCTATTTTCTTCACACTTAGATTCTTGTATATTTGTTCATTTTGTACATTATATTCATTTAATTTCTTGTACATTTATACCAATTCAATATGGTTGTAATAGACTAATTAGGTTTATTTTTCTTGCAATCTCCATTTACAATTTGTACACCCCCCTCCCACAAGTATTGTAATAGCGTAGTAACTTTAAATTCCGCAATTTACCGCTTTATATACAATTGCTAGTAATTAGGGTTTGTATGGAAAGATTAAAACCAACAAATAGCAAACCTTAATCAAAGACAAAATCAAGCATGAAAATAATACACTTGCACACAAACACCCCCTAGGGTAAATCCACTTGGTTGCCTTTACAAAATGGTCATATTACGCATGCGAGGTATCTTAGCAAAAACAAGCAAAGTATAAGATCATAGTCCCTCGATGACGCTATCTAAGTTGCCTTTCAAATGATCTTAGTCCCTAAAAGAGAATGTTAAGATACCTTGCAACATTGCTAATCATGGTTATACGATGACCCACACCCGTCCCGTTTACATCCAAAGATAGGGTTACTTACCAAATCAATGGTAAGATAACAATGTCAAAGGAAAAGGAAATGAACATGAAAAGACTTTTGAGTAGGTAGAATGCTCCTAATTACTTGCTCAATTTCAAACAAAATATCCTTGCTATTTTCAAAACAAACACCTACACTTTCAAACATCTTACAAACTTGAAAACATTTTCAAAAGATCAAACACTTTGTATATATTCTTACGAACGAGAATCATTACAAAATTTGCCTAAACAATGGCCTCTTTACAAAATACTTTCAAAAACCACACAAAGCACAATTTCAAACAAAAGCAAATGATCTAGCAAGTAACTAAGAGCCCATGGAAAACCATGGATGAAAAGGGTTCTAATACCTTCCCTTTTCATAATCTACCCTCCGAACTCAAGAAATAATCTCAAAGGTCTTTCTTGTGCTTTTTCACCTTTCCTTTTGGATAAAAGAAAAGTCGGTGGTGACTCTTGCTAACCACAACATTTGCGATCAAACGCAAAACCTTCAAGTCAGTTCTCCCACCGTATCACACTAGGCATGTATGCTTAATCAACCAATCAGTAGATCACTAAACTGCAAGATAAAATATCTGAAATAGCACACTATTGCACACTTGTACCCCTAGGGTATTTCCCACTTTGGTTGCCTTCGGAAAATGGTCATGTCCCTCGAACGTATGGATACTCTTAGCAAAGACCCTCAGTTTAAAGTCATCATAAATATCATAGTCCCTAAATGTTCCTCGAGTTGCCTACGAGAAATGATCTTATGATGATAGTCCCTTCGAAATGCTAAGGTATCCTTACATGTTGCCTTCAATAACCATTACGTCCCTTTCGATAGTCCCTCAACATCCAACGACTAGGGTTAACTACTCACTAATAGTAGGATAACATGGTCTAAAAGATAGGAGGAAAAGAACAATCTTTTTTCGAGTAGGTAGATAACTGTTAGGTACTTGCTCAAACAAATTTCCACACCACACTTTCAAACACTTTCAAACACTTTTCAAACAAAGTTTTCAAAACGCTTTATCACACTTTTGAGGACTGATACAAGAGTTACCATAAAGTGAATCGCCGCACTAAGGCATTTTCAAAACTTTTTCAAATACGAAAACAATTTCAAAAAAGAGCAAGTACCTAAGAGCCCATGGAAAACCATGGATGGAAAGGGTGCTAACACCTTCCATTTCCATAATCTACCCCCTTACTCAAAAACTCGAAAAGGGTCTTTTTTTGTTCTTTTCACCCTTTCCTTTGTCGGATAAAAGAAAAGTCGGTGGCGAATCTTGCTTACCGCGACATTTGTGAACTAAAAACGCAAACCAGTATTAACAGTCGGTTCTACCACTGTATCACAATGTTATCTAGGCAAGAGAAGAATGAGAGCGAATCATCATAGGAGACTAAACACCTAACCAAGATATTGTATCATCAAGGTAGTGGATAGAAGGAAATAATAAGATCACATTGGAGCGTTATCGTGCACGACACGCGAGCTAATGAAAAAGTGTGGGGGTTGATTACGAACTCTTCTCCAATTGACCGACTCGATACAAGAATGGCATGATTCGTAGCATCGACATACGGTGCAAGCTACGAATGACCTGTGGACTAGAAATTGTGGGGGTCGATTGCAGACCCTTTTCCACTTGCCTTATTTGAGGACTTATCAATGGGGAATGGGAATTGGACTCCTTCGTCGAGGTCTTTGGCAAAAATGTAAACGCGCATAATGGTAAACAAACAAGCGCACATAAGAATTTCCTGCTACATGTCTTTTAAAACAGCATTTCCCGTCTAACGCAAGGACTCCCGGTCATGCATCTCTAGTCCTACTTCTCATGGCAAAGAAAGCAAAAGACAATGCAGAAATGAGGATTAAAATAAAGTCACGATGATACCTAACGGAGAAGGTCAGTTGCCTCTTCGAAGCCACGCAAGCAAATAGAAAACTCTACAGAAGTTGTTCAGCACAAGTGATCAAATGAATTAATCTCCAAGTATTCCACATCACAAAAGTTACATCAATACTATCATAAAAATCTTGGCTAAAAATGGAAACAAAATTGATTACCACAAAAAATAATAGAAAAACCGAATTGAAATCCTAAAGAGAAATCCTAAAATATTTTAATATTTTTGTATCATTCATCACAAAATTTTATCAAAATTAATGGCAATCAGAATTAATAGGAAAAACAATTAAAATTCTATACATAAGGGGTGCTAAAACAAGATACAAGGTGTGAGACTGCAAGCAACAAATAAGCCCAATCCATAATCAACCTTTTGTATAAATCAGAATGCCAACAAAAGTTGCCCTTTGGGCCAAGGACAAGGGTGGATCAGTCCATACCCATAACATCTATCAGCCCATTATCAATCTCGTTAATCACCAAAATTTGTATCATAATTATTGACAATATTGACAATTAAGAAGAAAAAGATTAAAGAAAAAAACAAATAATTAACAGACCAGTGGATACAATGCGTTTTAATCCGTGTTTAGGGTTCAAGTCATCTTCCTCAAACACAAATTCCTCCCTCCTCTCTTCTCACGACGGCACAATGCATTCTCTTCCATTCTCGATCAAACTCCTCCGCCGTACCAAACCTCCATTCGCCGCGCTATTACCAGCAAATTATCTTCGCCTCTCGGGAAACTCAATGGCGCATCTCCATCTTCTCTTCCCCTTCAAAACCCAGCGCGACAGTGCTATATATCCTAATCCGTTCTCAATTTGTCTGCCATACCTCCGTCTCATTATCTTCTTCTTCATTTTGCATTCATTCCTCCACCGTAGACACACATTACCACACCGCACGCCGCTTCTATAGGCGATAACTCAGGCAAGAAGATGATGCAGAGAAACAAAGAGAAGTGGAAGAATTTGTCTTACCTGTCGGAAGCAAGCTCTGGTGGATCTTGATTTTGGTGATGAAGCGAAATCCAGAAAAACTGATTCATATAATAATTTGTTATTCTCTGCACCGAATCTTCTTTTCTCTTCTGCGTTTCCGTTATTCTTCTTGCGTTCTGGTTTTGAATTGTGGTGTTGTTGTCGTTCTTGAGGTGAAGATGTTGTTTGCGTTTGATGAAACGGAAATGATGAAGCAGAGAGGATTACAGTAGAGTTTTGTGATGCGAGATCGAGAATGATGCAGGTGATGTGATGATTTGGTGTTGATGATTGAAGGAAGATGATGGTTGAGGTTCCGGTGGTGGCAGAGAGGGAAGGTTGATAAAGGTGATGGAAGGTTTTGGATTGAGGAGGAAGAGAAGTTGCAGAAAGTGCAGAGAGAGTTGAGAGATGGAGAGAAAGGTGATGAAAATTGGAAAATGGTGCGTGTGAGGTGTGAAAAATGAAGGATAGAATGTTCTGTTATACACTTGAATTAGTCCGAACGACTATTCTGATTTGTTTTAAATGTTTCTGAATGCAATGATCTTTAGTGGCAGTGGCACGCATATGATTTTGATTGATACAAACTTCCGGTATCTTTTATCATTATATGCATGAGGCCTTTCAAATCTGTTTGAGCATGATTGTATGGATCTGGCTAACATGAATTATTACTGTGTGGATCAGTTATGGCTTCCTTTTTATGATGTTTGATTATGTAGTTGGCCTATGATGACAAATTATGAATGTGTATTAGTAACGAACTGATGTGAACATTGATTTTGCAGGCTGGTTACAAATTGAAGCTAACTTGGTCATAGTACAAGTGAACACCAATTACCAAATTGAAGCTAACTTGGTCAAAGTACAAGTGAACACCAAATATTTGGCCACGAAGAGATTCATACATTGGATGCAAGATGGACTGGCTTAAGAGAATTAAGTCTTAGGGAGGATTTGTAGAAGTCTTGGTCAATTGTTCATAGTCAAAAGTGTACATCTTTCCCATGTATTTCCTATTTTGAATTTGTAATGTACTTTTGGCTTTTGAATTTGAAAAGGCCTTGTGTATTGAACTCTTGAATATGTAATGGAACATGCCTTGTCTCAAAATGATTTGAAATTCACCTTTCTCTCCACTTTGTCCTATTTGAAATTGAATCTCAAGCTTTTCTTCACTTTTGTATAAACGAATCAACATATGAAAGCGCAATAGTTTTAAATGGACTTTGAAACAATCCATTGCTTTCAAACTTGGAATAATCCATAAAACCATGAATTAACTCCAATCCTTACACTAAATCCACAATATCGTCTTGCAACGTAAGTAACCAAGTGAAACAAACTTTAAATGATGATAAATAAAAGAAACCCTAATTGTGAGAAATGCGTCACATAAAAGCCATAAAATCAAACCCTTAAGATCCATATGATAACCACTAGCATAGAGAAGTGAATATCTATCCATGATTAATGAGAGTACTTATTGAAACAATAGTGTAGTTCACAATATCTTCCTTTGAAGTGCTGAAGGAAACCTTGTTGTTAACAAACATAACCTTAATCCACTTGCTTTTGAGACATCTTGATGAAGAAGCTTTATGAAAGAAGAAGTTCCTAACGACAATGGATCCAAAACCCTAGTTCCATAAGTCATGATTGATGAATAAACCAATTGAAACAAGTTTGTGTGAAGATGAAAGCCTCAAAGCATAGAGAAACCCTAAATACTCGATATCCTTGATCCCATGCCAAATTCTTATTGATTAATGATGCATGATGTGTAAAAATAACCTAATGGAAAGGTAATGCATATGAAGAATAGTAAGATGCATAAGCCATATGATTTTATTAAAGGGTAAGACAAATTTGAGGTATGACACCGTGCAAACTCTCATCTAGTTCCATGACCCTCCTCTAAGGTGTTTAACATTTCAAGATTATCAGTTGTCTCCTACATTGGAATAATATGTTAACATTCTAGGAGTCAAAGTCAAGAATCACATGCCTTTTGTCACTTCACAAGGAACCCCAAAGCTACACTTGATTGCCGAAGCTTTGCATTTGACTTTAAAAGAAGTAAAAGACAATTGGGATCCTAAGAAGGATGGTACTTATGATTGGAAATCCTCTACCTACACTCCTTGCTGACACATACCATTCCATTCATTCAAGGTTCGGGAAAGGAGGAACGGTCATCTGTTGTATGCCTCTCTTATACAAGCGGTACATTGCTCACTTGCATGTAAAAGGACCTTTTGTGGATAATGAACAAACCCTCAAGTGACATAAAAGAATTATGAAGCCCACTTCTCGTGATATCAGATGGTTCAACAATGATTACACTGGTATTGAAATCATTTTCAGTTGTGTCGAGTTTCCAAATGTGCCACTCATGGGTACCAAAGGAGGGATCAACTACAACTCTGTGATGTCTCAGCGTCAACTAGGTTACTCTCTACCCGGTCCACAAAAAGACGAAGATGTGAAGGAAACGGTGTTCTACAACAAAGGAGAAGATTTCGAACTGTTAGCAAAGGTAAGGGAAACATAGAAGAAGATTCATCGCTTGGGAAGACAAAGTTTGGGAAGGAAAGATTGGACAGCAAAAACACCCTACACTGAATTGGTGAAGAAAAGAGTTGAAATTGCCTTACTACCATTTCATTTTGAGGCTCTTGTATATTCACCACCTATTGTCGCTTTCATGGATGTCTAGATCCTTAAACAAGATCTAAGTGCAGAAAATGAAGAGTTAAGGATGCGAGCTACCAATGCAGACATCACAAAGAATGAGCTAGCTTATTAAGTCAAGATAAAAGATGAGTTGCTTGCAGAAAAGAACAAATTAATTGACAAAGAGACGAACAAGAGATTGAGAATTGGCAAGGATCTAAGACCATCTCACTTCAACATCAACCATAACAAGGAGGAAGTGGATAGCATACTAAGGGAGAATGTTATATTGAAGAAGCAATGGGATACTCTCGCGAAATCAAAGAACGATATGGAAAATCGGTATGAAAGACAAATAGAAGACTTGAAGGAGCAGCTCAAAGCAAGAGGAGAAGTACTTAGAAAGGAACATGCCAAAGTGATGAAGACCATTCACCAACTCACGAGATGTCAATATCAACTAAAGGAAACTCTGGAAACAATAGAAGAACTCAAGGTTCAATGATGCGAAGACCTAGAGAAGATACAACTTCATAAGAAAATAGATCATTTGGAAGGCGCTCTCGGCCAAAGGGAGATACTTATTCAAGAGTTACTCAAGAATCCTAGGCAACCAAGAACTAAGGAATTTTTTTAAGAAGTTCGAGATTGGATTGAGGAATATTTAGGGTGGGACGGACTTGTCAAATAGAGTTTGGAGAAACATCCCAGGGTTTTCTTTTCGTAGCTATAGTGATCACCTTTAGACCTGTTGGAGGGATCTTTAGTTTACTTTTACGTCCAGTTTGTACTTTCCAGTGTGTACTTTCCAGTGTGTACTAGTTGTATGTTTTTCAAAAAAGAAGTGAATGAATGGAAAGTAGATTTTTTTTGTTTATCCGTGTTTTGATCACTCTTAACCTAATAGCTAAAAATCCCTGGAAATAAAAAAAAACAGCAAGAAAAATTTATTCATCACATACATGCATTCATAATAGGTCAAACCTCTTCCTAATATCAGTTATTTCTTTAGTGCGGCAAACTGACGTCCCACAAATACAACACTCGAGGAAACAGACCAAGACTCGCAATGGAAGAACTTCGCGAAGATCTGAATGAAATGAGAACCACAGTTAGAGAACAGTTGGGTCAGATTTCTTAAGAGGGCTAGGACTAGTTGAGTCTTAGAGGTTTTAGTCACTTGTAGTTAGCTTGTGCATTGTATTGTTAGTCACACCAGTTTGGTTGTGCGCTTGTAATCAGTTTAATTATAGTGGATTAAGTCCTCGTTGAGAGAGGCGAAATCACCTTGGCGGGTGGACTAGAGTAGTTTGAGTTTCAAACGAACCGGGATAAAATTACCAGTGTCCTTCCATTAGTATTGCGCTAGAAAAGAAGAAAAACTTATTCAACCCCCCCCCCCCCCCTTCTAAGTGTTTTCTCAACCTTCAATTGGTATCAGAGCTCTAGTTCTGGGTGAAAACACCTAACAGTGTCAGAAAAAGATCCAGAAGGAAAACACTATGGCATCTGAACAAAACAACAACAACTGCACCAAACCTCCTGTGTTTAATGGAGAAGACTTTGAATACTGGAAGAATAGACTAGAAAGTTTCTTTCTAGGTCACAATGCTGATCTATGGGATTTGGTCCTTGACGGGTACACTCATCCAAAAGATAAAAACGGAAACAAAATTGACAGAAGGAACATGGATAAACAACAAAAGCTAAATTTCAAGAATCACCACAGAGCCAGAAACATCTTTCTGAATGCTATCTCGAAAAATGAATATGAGAAAATCACCAACAGAGATACAACACATGACATGTTTGAATCCCTCAAGATAACTCATGAAGGAAATGCTCAAGTAAAGGAGACAAAAGCTCTGGCTCTCGTTCAGAAGTATGAAGCATTCAAAATGGAAGAAAAATGAGTCTATTGAAGTTATGTTCTCAAGATTCCAAACTCTGATTGCTGGCCTAAGAGTTCTAAACAAAGGATACACCAAGGCAGACCATGTGAAGAAAATCATTAGAAGTTTACCTAGAAGATGGGCACCTATGGTCACTGCATTCAAAGTATCAAAAGATCTGAATAACGTTTCCCTTGAAGAACTTATCAGTGCTTTAAGGAGTCAGAGATAGAACTTAATGAACATGAGCCTCAGAAGAAAGGTAAGTTTGTAGCTCTTAAATCTATTAAAAAATCTGAAACTAATGCTTTTCAGGATGAAGAAGGAAACTCTGAAGATTCTGCATCAGAAGAAGACGGGTTATCTCTGCTCTCCAGAAGGATCAATCAGATGTGGAAGCATAGAAAAAAGAAGTTCAGGAACTACAAGAGGTCAGAAGATAAACCAGAATCTTCTGGACATAAGAAGTCAAGCAGAAGAGATGTAGTCTGCTATGAATGAAAAGAACCTAGACACTGCAGAAGTGACTGTCCCAAGCTGCAAAGAGAAAGACCCAAGAAAAAGTTTGGTAAAAAGAAAGGCATGATGGCCACCTGGGATGATTTAGAATCATCTGAAGCTGAATCTGACTCAGAAGATGAACACGCTAATCTAGCGTTTATGGCTACCACAACAGATGACTCAGACTCAGACTCAACCAAAAGAGGTATTCTCTGAATTCTCTAGAACTGAACTTGCTGAAAGCCTATATAAACTGCTTGAAAACTGCAGTAAACTCAAAATCAAATACAAGAAACTCAAAAAGAATCTTGCATCTGATCTTGAGAAACTTGAAACAGAAAACTCTGAACTTAAAGAAAAGATTTTTAAACTCAAAGAAGATGTTCAAAAATTTGAAAAGAACTCTATTTCAGATTCTGCTTCAAGTTCAAAAGATATTCTAAAAGAATATGACTCCAATTTTCAAACGTTTCTCGCTAAAAGCATAGATAGAAGCAAAATAGCTTCAATGATCTATGGTGTTAGTGGAAATGACAGAAGAGGTATTGGATATAAAGCTCCCAGAGGGAAAGAAATATATAAACCTAAGCCCGTTGAGGAAATGGTTATATCATATAAACCACTACACAAGCAATTTAATTTTGGGCACACACATGATATCAAATACACTTCTCACTCTGAAAATTCCTATGCAAAATCAAAGTTCAATATGAACTATAGAAACTCTAACCAAAAAGGAACCAAAAAGAAATGGGTACCTAAGGAGAAAATAATCTATGTTGCAGATGTCCTTAACAGCTCAGTTGAAACACCAGTCATGGTACCTGGACTCTGGATGCTCGTGTCATATGACGGGAAGAAAGTCTATGTTCCAAAGTCTGGAACTTAAATATGGAGGTGATGTCAAATTTGGAGGAAATCAAAAAGGAAAGAATATTGCTTCTGGAACCATCAGAAACGGTAACCTTCCCTCTATAACTAATGTTCTTTTAGTAGAAGGATTAACTCATAACTTGATGTCCATAAGTCAATTAAGTGACAACGGTTATGACATTATCTTTAATCAAAAATCACGTAGAGATGTTAGTCAAAAAGACGGAACAATCCTTTTTACTGGCAAGAGAAAGAACAACATCTATAAAATTAACCTTTCTGATCTTAAAACTCAAAATGTAAAATGCCTTATGTCTGTTAGCAACGATCAATG